CCACTAAGAAATTTTTTGTTGTCTCATTCAGGATCTAAAGACAATGTTTATCCTTAGAAAAGGAAATGACATAATATCATAACCCTCAATGCCCTCCCCTTCAGACCCTAAAAACATAAAATGAAACCAAAAGGGGCCCAGGAGATTTGATGCTGTTATGATGTATGCTGAGGAAGAATAACAAAATTTCAGCCTCAATCCTGGGATCATGGAGACAGTAACTAATACAAAACAACAAAAGAAAACAACATCTAAAATATATCCCATCCATATCATGCATACATATATACTATACATCCTTCATAGTATTCCATTAACATTCTAAAACAGACTTCATTCTAAGCCACAAAGGAAGTCTTAACAAGAATAAGATAATCTTCCCTGTTTCCCCTCCACAACATCCCTATCCCTTGCCCCATTCTCAAGCTTCTATGACCAGCCACTTCCACCCCATTGCCCTGGCATTCTTGTACAGTAGGAAATCCAGCCTTCACAGGACCAATGGCCTCTCCTCCCACTGATGCCAGATAAAGCCGTTCTCTGCTACATATGCACCTGGAGCCATGGGTCCCTCCATGTGTACTCTTTGGTTGGTGGTTTAGTCCCTGGGAACTGTGTGTGTGGGGGGGTCTAGTTGTTTGATATTGTTGTTATTCCTATGGAGTTGCAAACCCTGTTAGCTTCTTCAGTCCTTGCCCTGACCCCTCAGGAGTCTCCACACTCAGTCCAAAGTTTTGGCTGCTTACTTCCACATCTGTATTGGTCAGAATCTGGCAGAGCCACTTGGGGGACAGCTATACCAGGCTCTTCCTGGCATTAGCAGTAGTGTCTGGGTTTGTTGTCTGCAGCTTGGATGGATCTCTATGTGAAGCAGTCTCTGGATGGCCTTTCTTACAGTCTCTATTCCATACTTTATCCCTGCATTTCCTTTTGACAGGAGAAATTCTGGATTATTATGTTTGAAGTAAGTGGGTGGTCTTATCCCTCAACTGGATGCCTTACCTATCAACTGAATAAGGTCTCTAGGGGTTCTATTTCACCTTTGTTGGGTATTTTGGCTAATTTCTTCTTTGTTGGGTCCTGGGAACCTCTTACGTCCCTGGCATCTGGGACTTTCTAGTGCCTACACCCTTGTTCCCCCTCCCCTAGTGTTATACATCTCCTTTCAAATTCTTGACTCTCTGTATTTGCCTCCACCTCCTTCATTATTTGAATCAGACTCTCCTTTACCCTCCCTCTCATCCCCCCATCCCCTTTTCTTCTCTTTCCTGAGATGATTTTCTTTTCCCTACTGGTAGGACTATAGCATCCACACTTTGATGTAGCCTTCCTTCTTCTTTTCCTTCTTCTCTTCCTTCTTCTTGGGTTTCATGTGGTCTGTAAGTTGCATTGTAGGTATTCTGAGCTTTTTTTTTGGCTAAGATCTGCTTATCAGTGAGTACATACCATGTGTGTGCTTTTGTGACTGGATAGCCTCACTCAGGATGATATTTTCAAGTTCAATCTATTTGCCTGTGAATTTCATGAAGTAATTGTTTTTAATAGTCGAGGAGTACTCCATTGTATAAATGTACCACATTTTTTGTATTTATTCCTCTGTTGAGGGACATCTGGGTTGTTTCTAGCTTCTGACTATTATAAATAAAACTGGTATGAAAATACTGGAGCATGTGTCCTTGTTATATGTTGGAGCATCTTTTGGATACATGTCCAGGAGAGGTATAGCTGGGTTCTCAAGTATAACTATTTTCAGTTTTCTGAAGAACCACTACACTGACATCAAATATATCATTCACCATGATCAAGTGCACTTCCTCCTAGGGATACAGGGATGGTTCAATATACAAATATCTGTCTATGTAATCCTGTATCTAAACAAACTTAAAGGAAAATCACATGATTATTTTATTAAATGCTGAAAAAGCTTTTGACACAATCCCATACCACTTGATGTTAAAAGTCTTGGAGAAATGAGGCATTCAAAGCTCATACATAAACATATCAAAAGCAGTATACATCAATCCAATATCCAACATAAGATTAAATGGAAGAAACTTGGAGCAACTCCACTAAAACTAGGGACAAAACTAGGCTGCACACTCTCCACCTATCTATTTAATATAGTACTTGAATTTCTAGATACAGCACAAAGACAACAAATGGAGATATAGGGGATATAAATTGGAAAGGAAAAATTTAAGGTATCACTATTCATGGAAGATATGATAGTATATATAAGTAATCCCCAAAGTCTCCTACACATGATTAACAACTTCAGCAAAATGACTGGATAAAAAATATCTCAAAGAAATGAGTAGCCCTCCTTTATAGTAAAGGTAAATGGGCTTAGAAAGAAATTAGAGAAGCAATAACCTTCACTGTTGTGTTTTATAAAAAAGAAAGGGAAGCCAGGGATATGTTTATTAGAGGTGTTGTATGGTAAAGTGGAAGGGCATGCCTTTGTGGGCCCTTGCTGCAGTATCCATTCCCCCTGAGGTACCTGGCACACAACTGACCAAAAGAGTATAATATAGACAGAGTATAGACAGACCATAGTACAGACAGAGTATAGTATATAATAGATAGTATAGAATGCATATATATATATATATATATATATATATATATATATATATATGAATTATATATTAGAATTATTTAGGGCATAGGGATGTGAGTTGTGTGAGTAGTAGAGACAGAGAAAGGGAGAGAGAGAGAGAGAGAGAGACAGAGAGAGACAGAGAGAGACAGAGAGAGAGAGAACATGTGGAGAGAGAGGGGAGGAGGGGAATGGGGAGAAAAGGGGCAGAGGGGGAAGAGGGTAGGAGAGCACGAAAGAGAGGAGGGGGCAAGCAACCCCTTTTATACTGAGTCAGGCATACCTGGCTGATACCAGGTAACTGTAGGGCAGAGAATAGAAGAAATGCTAACATTCATAATAGCCACAAACAATATAAAAAATCTTGTAACTGTAACCAAGCAAGTAAAAGATCTATATGATAAGAACTTTATTTCTCTAAAAAAGAAATCGAACAAGACATTGAAAAATGGAAAGATCTCCCATTCTTATGGATGGGTAGGATTAAGATAGTGAAAAACAGATATTTAAAAAAATCTACAGATTCAGTGCAATTCCCATCAAAATTCCATCACAATTTTATAGACTTCGAAAGAGCAAATCTGATCTTCTTGGGAAAAATAAAACAAAAAAAAATTCAAACAAACAAACAACAAAACAAAACAAAAAATAAAACAAACAAACAAACAAGCAACAAAAAAAAAACAGAATAGCAAAAATTATCCTGAACAATAAAAGAACTTCTGGAGGCATTGTCACCTCAGTTCTCAAGCTGTACTAAAGAGTAATAGTAATAAAAATTCCATGGTATTGGTATAGATACAGACAGGTTGCATAATAGTATCAAATACAAGATCCAGATGTAAACCCACATACCTTTAGATACTTGATTTTTGACAAAGAATCTAAAACCATACAATGGAAAAAGGAAAGCACTCAAAGTCTTGACTAAAGCAGGGAGATAACTGAAAGAGATCTAAAGGATGAAAATAGGAAAGGAAGAATTCAAAGTGTCCTTTTTGACAGATAATATGATTTTATTCATGAAATCTCTAAAAACCTCACCAGGAAACTTCTGCAGGTGATAAACATTTTCAGTAAGGTATCAAGAGAGAAAGCTGATGCACAAAAATCAATAGACTTCCTATGTATAAAAAACAAACAGACTGAAAGAAATCACCACCTTTGATCACCTGCTTCTTTGCTTTCATGTAAGGAAAGACAGTGTCCAGAAGTTGCTAGAGTACTGTGTTCATTCCTGCCTGTTTTTGAAAGACATTTTTCCAGTGGTATGAATAACAATGTGCATTTGCATTTCCAATGACATGTACCCAAAGTGACATCCAGAAAACTCTGTTTCCACTGTTTCTGGTTGCACTACTAACCAGTTTAATGAGAGCACTGGACATTGGCATAGTTTGTTATCAGCAGAAACCAGGGAAAGCTCCTAGGCCCCTAATTTATTTGGCATCCGTCTTGAAACATGGTGTCTCATAGATGTTTAATGGTAGTGGGTCTGTGATGCATTTTACTCTCAACAGCAGCATCTTAGAGTCTGAAGATGCTGAAATTTATTACTGCCAAGAGCATAGTAACTTCTTCAGCTCACAGTGATACAAGTCATAACAGACACCTCACAGGGAAGAAGAAGTGAGAGGTTGGACTGACACAGCTGTTTTGCTTGTGCCACCACCTGCGGAGAACATTTTTTAGAAGTAGGCAGACTTTGAATGTCACTGAGGCAGCCATAGAAAGGGAGATGGAGTCCCTGCTATACTCTTGTTTTCCTCCTCTTGCTAATTTCCAGCAGCATAGACTTGGCAACTGCCTACCTGATTTCATTAAGATGTTTAAACATTCACCAGAAGAGAGCACCAGAAACTACTTAATGATAGACTGGACAGTCTGGAACTAAAAATAAAAAATCTACTCTCAACTTAAGTAATGACAGTCTCACTAAAATATGAGGTTTCCTCCTATGTTTTTGTTTTCTCTCTCAATTTTAGTGTACTCAAGAAAATAGAAATATTGTAACAGATACTTTATTTCCTAAAACTGCTTGTTGAAATGTGAGTATACTTTCTTCATGGGAGAGTAGAGGAATTACCAGAATCTGAATCAATAGTTTATTTCAAAAGAAATTATACAAAATGCAAATGGATTTGAACTACTTTGTCAGTCTTTCAGCATTCCACTAGTCTCTCATCAGTCAACGGATTTTGTTTTATTACATTCACTTCTAACACAGAAGATCTGTGTGAGTTGTTTTAAAAATACAAGAAACCCACAAAACTGTCCCCTAAGTACACTGTTATTTGGGGAAGGGTATTTGCATATTGCTCCCTAGGGTTGTCCTTGCCTTGCTGTACTAAGATAAAAGCTCAGCTGTATTCTTGCTTTCAGTTATTACTTTCCTATGTTCATCTCCTCAAAATGATGAGTCCTGTAGAGTCCATGTTTCTGTTATTGCTTTGGATTCTGGGTAAGTAGAGAATGAGATGCAGGAGGAGAATCCCTGGGGATGGAGGGTGATCACTGACTGATGATTTGGGCTGTCCATGTGTTGCGAGGTAGGTTTTCTTTTCTAAGATGGACATACGAGGTTCAGTCACATAATAATGAGAAATGACAGATGAGATAGGATTTGTGCTAAGATGAAGATTCTAATGTAGATGGGAAAAGTATATGACCTTAGGATCTTCAGCTGAATTGTTTTGTGAAAAATCATTTGATATATTAAAAAAAATCATAAAGCATACCAGAATCTCACTTGAAATGAGTAACTTAAAATAATTCACAAAGATTGTTTGCAAAATTTGCACATGACTTCGCACTGTTTTATTATAATTTCAGGAATCAATGGGGATGTTGTGATGACCCAGACTCCACACATTTTATCGGTTACCATTGGACAACCAGCCTCCATATCTTGCAGGTCAAGTCAGAGTCTCTTGGATAGTAATGGATACACCTATTTGAGTTGGTTTTTACAGAGGCCAGGCCAGTCTCCACAGCTTCTAATTTATTCTGTTTCTGAACTGGAATCTGGGGTTCCTGACAGGTTCAGTGGCAGTGGGTCAGGAACAGATTTCACACTCAAACTAAGCAGAGTGGAGGCTGAGGATTTGGGAGTTTATTACTGTATGCAAGCTACCCATGATCCTCTCACAGTGATACAGATCCTAACAAAAAATGCTCTTGCTTGATGTAGCCCAGCTGCTAATGTGCTGCTAGTCTGGAGAGGAGCAGAGCACTCTGTGTCTGTGTGAGGGAAAGAGCATGGGCATCATCAGTAATTGCAACTGAGAGCTCTGGCTATACTCACCTCACTGGATGAGTAGTATGGCTAAACTTTAAGTACCATCAGTTACTGATCCTTCTAGCTGTAACAGTTATGGTATTGGCTCTGCCTCAGGAGAAATTCATCTCATTAACTAGTTTATTGTTTGTGCTCTACTCCTAGCCTTGAGCAGGCCTGAAAGAACTTGTTTACCACAATAGACCAAATAATAGGACCTAGGTGGAGTTGCTCACCTTGGTTGCACATACAACCAGCTACAGGAACTTAGAAGAATAGACTGCCCACTGAGCTTAAGTCCTTGGTGCGAATTTGTCCACATGTGTCATTGTCTGTCTTTGTTTCATTAGAATAAATGACTGTTCTATATTCCATGTTCAGAAAGATAAAAAGGGTTAAAATTTCTGGCTTGATTTAGCTTAAAACTTGTTTAAAAGGCAACCTCAATTCTCACAACAAAAGCTGATAGGCAAGACCCCTGTTCTGCTGCTGGAAGTGAGGCACAGTGGGAGGAGCCCTGGCAAAAATGATTCTTTGCACAAGCTGCTCTTTGAGAGTCCAAGAACTTTTTGGATTTCCTGGTAAAGTAAGACATTCACAACAGACAGGAGTTATATAATGAGTTATGGGCCAGGAGCTATATAATGATTATGCTGGAGAAATTAGAATTACAGCCTGACTTGCCTACTCCAGCTGTCATTCCAGGAAATGCATATAAAATCATTATAGATTTAAAAGAGTATTTTCATACTGTTCCTTTACATCCTGTTAAAGGTGAGAGGTTTGCAGTCATTGAATATGCTTGCAATTTTTGAGAGACCATAAAGTGATATCACTAGAAAGTTTTCCCTCAAGGAATGGCTAATAGCCTTACAAAAAGTTAAGAGTATGAAAGTAAAAACAAAAAGCAGTTTCAATTGGCCTTTGGAGTCCTGCACCTGTGGTTAGGAGTGTAATACAGCATAAAAAAGTCATGCCATGGTCTCATTGACGTAAAAGCCACCCTGAAAAGAGCCAGCAGGTTTTTTTGGCTTTTATGGTAAGGAGCTGATGGTTGATTTCTCCTTGAAAAATCTGTGGCTATGATTATTGAGTTCAACAGGTGCTTCTTTTGAAATTACAGCTAGAAAAAGTAAGAAAATTTTGTTTGGATAGAAAAAATATAAGATGTGCATTTACTTCATTTTTGTTTATGACTGGTTTTAAAAGTATACAGATGTTCTGCATGTCTTGGTTATAGATTATTGGCCTATAAGTTATTGAGCATGATTAAAAATTTGCAAATTTGGTAACAGAAAGTTGGCTTAAAACTGGTAACTCAGGATTGGAGTCATTCAAAAACCAGATGTATAAAGATAGGATTTAAAACAATGTTTCTTTAAGAGTTATTAAAAGCTGCACTATCATACATTCATATATAAGAACTGGCTGCCTAACGTTGTAACATGAAAGTAATGCATTTAGTATTGATGTTAGAGAAAAAGGATTGTTTGCATTGTTAAAAATTGGTTTTGTTTCTCAAAATTATGCTTACACTCTAGTATTGCAAAAGAAACTTAACGATATAGTTAAACTGCCAGTATTTCATTGGCTGCAGTTAACTGCGAGTTTGAGAATTCCTGACTCATTCATGTTTATGGATGAAAAGAGGATTGAGCAGGTAGAGATAATTGCAAGAGTAAGAAAAAAGCCAGCATCAGTGGAGAACCAGTCACAGCCGGTGCTAGCTGCAGCCCCCGGCCCAAGTTATGGCTGAAGGTAAGGAGGGTCTGACAGCCTATCACAGCAGGTCTCTAGTAGCGGGTCTCTGGGAGAAGGCAGCCAGACCCCCACCAATTTGGCCGAGGTGAGAAAAGTCCTTCAGGGGCCCACTGAGACATATTCCTTTTGATGGCCCTTTATAGGACAGACAGCACCTGATAAGAAATTGCAATATATTGCAGAACTATACCATGCAAGATTTAGTTAAGAGAGAGAGAGTAAAAGAGAGAAAGATTGCAGGCATGAAGGATTTTGGCCACAGTAGTTAGTGAAAAAGGGAGAGAACAGTACCCAGACAGACAGGGAATCTGGACAATGGGGGCTATAGGCCCAGCAGAGCAAAAGAAACACAGTGACGCTCAGTGGACAAGGATCAGTGCCCTTACTGCAAAGAGAAAGGACATTGGGCTAAAGATTGCCTGAAGAAAAAGAGTAAGACCCCCAAGGTCTTGTCTCTTGAAGAAGATGACTAGTGGGGACGGGGATCGGGCCCCATCCCCAAGCCTAGGGTAACCCTGAATGTGAAGAAGGGGACCCCTGTGAATTTTCTGGTAGATTCAGGAGCAGAATATTCGGTTCTGAGACAGCCATTAGGGAAATTAAAAGCTAAAAAGACTAGCAATAGGAACAACTGGACAGAAACAGTATCCTTGGACTATGTCACGAACTGTTGACCTGGGAAAAGGACGGGTGTCCCACTCCTTCCTGGTCCGATGGATGAATAATGCTCGCATTATGCACTATCAGAGCCTGTTGTTGACTGAAAGGGTGATCTTTGCACCCCTGACCATCTTGAATCCTGCCACCTTGCTGTCTGTGACTGATGACTCTTCTCTCATCTGTCACTGTATTGACATCCTGGCAGAAGAAACAGGTACTCGGAGTAACCTGAAGGACCAACCCTGGCCAGGAAGTTTGAACTGGTATACAGATGGCAGCCGTTTTGTGGTAGAAGGTAAGTGAATGGCGGGAGCTATGGAAAGCGAGTATCATCCACTGCCCAGGGCACCAGAGGTCTCAGGCCACTGTTGCAAAAGGAAATCAGATGGCTGACATGGCTGCCAAGAAAGCTGCCAAGGGAGCAATGATTCTAGCAGTTAAGGGTTCCAGAGACTATTTTGATGCCACTGACTAGCATCAAGTGATGGACAAATTGGACTTTCACTCTGAAACCACTTATGGAGTAATAAAAAATGGATACGGTAAGTTAATCCTCCCACAAGAAGGACTATCTGATTTGATGAAAGCTGTGGTGAGAAACTATAGAGCTTGTGCCTTAACCATTGGGAAAGAGACTGAGGAACGACTGGCCTGGAGCTTACTGGGAGATGGACTTCACAGAAGTCGATCTGGCAAAATATGGAAATAGATATCTTTTAGTTTTTATAGACACCTTTTCAGGATGGGTCGAAGCCTTCCTCACTAAAAGTGAAACTGCCAACGTGATGGCTAAGAAGATCCTGGAAGAGATCTTTCCAAGGTTTGGAATACCCAAGGTAATTCACTCTGTTAGTAGACCTGCCTTTGATGCCCAGGTGAGTCAGGGACTGGCCACACAGCTGGGGATTAATTGGAAATTACATTGTGCTTATAGACCCCAGAGTTCAGGACAGGTAGAGAGGATAAATAAAACCATTAAGGAGACCTTGACTAAATTAGCTTTGGAGACCAGCAGGAATGACTGGGTAGCCCTCTTTCCCTTTGTCTTGTTCTGAGTTTGGAACACTCTAGAGTGATTTAAGCTTACACCATTTGAGAGTTTGTGTGGGGTACCACTGCCACTTACTGAGGTGGGTGGAATGAATGATCCTGATGCTGTCCTTTCTAAATCTTTGTTTGCTCACATAAAAGCACTTTAAGTGGTCCGGCGCGAGGCCTGGGAAAAGCTGAAAGAGACCTATGAGACTGGAGACCCGAGTGTGCCACACCAGTTGGGAGACACATTTCTAGTTCAGCGCCATCAAGCTGCCTGCAGCCTCTGACCATGTTTGGCCTCTGGAGAAACACGATAATTGATTTGAACCTGTATGACGAGCTATACCACCAGTCACTGGAGATCATCTTGTGCTACCTGTCGGAGCAGGCGACCAGCTCCAAGGACTTGAAGCCTCTGGGTGAGGCCAGAGCAGCAGTCCACAGGACACTAGAGACCCTGCAGCATGTGGGCAATGGCATGCAGCACAACCATGAGACAGCTTTTCAGGACATGCTTCAGGAATTAGACATTACCATTCTGATATTTTCCCTCACTGGTCCCCTTTTGATTCTGTGTCTGCTTCTTAAACAGATTAGTTACCTTTGGTAGAGAAAGAGTAAATGCTGTCCAGATGCACCAACATGTTGCACCAACAATATTGGGCTTTGCCAGGTAAAGAAAATAGAGGTTATGATGATGTTGAAGATACTGAAGTTTAGTTCTATGATTAGAACTTTTACATGACAAGAAGTGGGAGTTGTAAGGATATAAAAATTCATAGAGAAGCTTGAGACTCCATCATCTGAATTAAGGTTGGCAGATTTACAGGCCTAGGTTCCAGGAACTAGCTGGCCACCTAAAGAATTAGCCAGGGGGCAAGTCAGCCAGGTCGTTTTGACAAAGAATAGCAGAACTACAAATACAGGTTTGTCAAGTCACCCCAGGGAGTGACTGACCACAATGGGCTAGGCTAAGGTCACATTCCTGAGAAAAATGTATACAGGATGCTTCCCACTCCCCTCCCCAGTTTATGATTCGTGTAAGATATTTCCCATTCCCCACCTTGATTTATGACTAACTACTGTTCCTCTTTTTGATTTCCCCCTTCACCCCCTTGGTTTGTGGTTTTCTCCTTTAAATGCCCCTTCCTCCCAAGCCTTATGGTCGACACTCCTCTGCCCTTGCATGGTATAGGAGTCTCGACCCAGCACTGACTTTGATTAATTAAACCTCTTGCTATTGCAACAAGTCTGGTGTCTCTTGTGGTCGTGAGAGAGTTGTATCTTCTCGAGACTTGAGTGAGGGTCTCACCTCTCTGGGGGGTCTTACAATGCCCCCTTCGCCTCAGAAAAATGGAAGACTCACTTGGGTACCACCCCACCTTGTGATATCTAATCCCAGCAAAACTAAGTACCTTTTCTCCCACTGAGGCCAATCAGGCAGTCCAGGTGGTGGAAAGGGAGCAAGTCAAAGGAAACACAATCAAAGATACTCCCAACTTCAATTGTTAGGAGACCCATATATATATCAAGCTGCACATCTACTACAAATATGTGAGGGCCTAATCTAGCCCCTGCATGCTCTTTAGTTTCTGGTTCAGTCTCTGTGAGCCCTCATGGCCCTGGGTTGGTTGACTCTGTATGTGTTCTTGTGGTGTCTTTGACTCCCTACAGCTCACAGAATTCTATCCCCCAGCCCTTCCACAAGACTCTCCAAGTTCTGCCTGATTTTTACTCATAATTATCTATATTTCCGTCCATCTGCTCTGGTTAAAGCCTCTCATGAGACAGTTATGTTAAGTTCTGGTCTGCAAGCATATCATCAATTCTATTGACTCTACCCCAAGAGATCAGTCTCAAGTTGGGCCAGTCATTTGATGGCCAACCCCACAGTCTCTGTTCCATCTTTATGTCTGTATATCTTGTAGACAGGACACATTTTAGGTTGCAGGTTTTGTGGGTTGGTTGAGGTCCCCTTCTTCTACTAGAAGTCCTGCCTGATTATAGAAGGTAACTACTTCAGCCTCTATATTCCTCAAAAGTAGGAATTTCAACTAAGATCGTCCCCATAGACATCCATAGCCTCCCCCATTCCAGGTCTCCAGCTAGTCTCAGAGATGCATCCCACCAATTTCCATTCTTATTTCAAGCCCTCTCATCCCCAGTGTGTTTGCCATCCCCTTACCACTCATCATTTCCTCTTCCTACCTATTTCTCTCTCTCCAT